AACAAAAACCTAGCTCGTCTAAGCACTTACTAACTTCAGGTTCCCTATCTCTCAGGGGTTAAACTAGAACAAAACAATATTGGTTTCACCAACCTAGTGTCTTTGTCAGCTCTCTGCACTCCAGTGCTAAGTCAGCCTGTTGCTTTCCTTTCTACACTCCCAGTGCTCCAAGCCAGCCTTAACTGCTTTCCTTTCTGCACTCCCAGTGCTCCAAGCCAGCCTTGACTGCTTTCCTTTTGCACTCCCAGTGCTCCAAGCCAGCCTTGACTGCTTTCCTTTTGCACTCCCAGTGCTTCAAGCCAGCCTTGACTGTTTTCCTTTTGCACTCCCAGTGCTCCAAGCCAGCCTTGACTGCTTTCCTTTTGCACTCCCAGTGCTCAGTCTCCTTGACTCTCTCACTGGAGAGAACAGCCTCTCTCCTACCTGCTTCCAGGGAGGAAACCAGCAATCTCCCTTTACCTGCCTAGCAGGTAGGGGTTTATTCCCACTGCTACAGCTGATTATCTGCAGCTGAGCAGTGGGTTGGAGACAGTTCCAAAGAACTCTGGCCTGGACCTTATTTCTTCCAGTTGTGTATAAACTGAGGAGTGGATCATTGGCCCACCCTGCTCTCCAAATGCTCCACCCCAGGGGCCCATAACTAAATGTAGCTTTGTGTTGCACACCACACATACAACACATACTTCCCCTGGGGTTAAATGTTAAAGGCCTCTCTGCCTTCACTTTATCACAACATTTTATGACTAATTTGTGCAGAAATCCATATCATTCCAAAGGCTTCACATACTTTTTCTTGCAACTGTATGGCTGCCAAGAATACTCTGATCTGACCCCATCTCAGAGGAACTACCCTGACTCTTTGAGGTTTTATCTACCAGCAAGTTTTACCATTTGGATTCACACTTGGACTTATATTTGAACTTTCTTTTGCTTTTTCTTTGTTTGTCCATATATATATATATATATATATATTTTTTTTTTTTATATATATATATAAATATATATGTTATAAAACATCTCTGTTTTCATAATTTATAGCGCAACCTTTATCCCCCCTGTTTGAATCATGGCAGAAGACCACCGAACATCACTCCCCTCGATCTTCGGAAGGTAATTATCTCCATTTTTACCACATGGATACGAAGGATACGTGACACCATCAGCATGAAATATAACGAAGGCTGGTTCCTACATCCATGAGTAATATCCCCACGCATGCGCACTAGTATTAAACTGCCATCTTAATCACTGGCATTATATCAGCCACGAATGTGCAATCTATCGTCACCTGCGAATGCGCATTGAACAAGTAACTCAAGCCCGCGTGCGCACCGCGCTTCAGCATCACAAACAGCATTTTTACGGCTAGAATGGGCAGAAGTATACCACTAACTGACAGGCACTCCTCCCCTTACACAGCAGCCGGGTCTGTAAACATTAGAGACGCCGGCTGCTGCAAGTTAGTACCTTTTAAGTTTTAGTATTCACCCTTCTAGTGCCTAACCATTTGGAACATGTGGGTGATGTCACACACACGTTCACTGTCACATGCTTCCATGTAGCCAATCAAGGAGCACCATAGGCTATTTAAATATTTTTGTCTATTTCTCTGTTCCCTGTCATGGTTTCCGTTCTGGTTATCCGAGAGCGCATTTCTGGTACTGTTTTTTGTGTATTTTGACCTTGGCTATACTACTGACTATCCAATCTCTGTATTCCTTGACCTTTGGCTCAGCTCCTGACTATTCTGACTTCTGTTTTCCTCGACTTTTGGGTTGCTTAACGGTTTTCTGTATTCTTGTCCTCAGCCTGTCTTGTGTTTTTCCTTTTATACTTTAAATCCGGCCGTCCTAAGGCCTGGTAATACGACTTAGTGTTTTCTTTATTTAATACTTAAGTTCTGCGTGTTTGGGCATTTTAGTATATCCTGACATTACGACAGGGCCATGGACTCTGCAAACTTAGATAGGCAAGTGATGTCTTGCGAAGCTAAGCTAGAGGAACATCACTGCATGGATCAGTTCGCTCAGGCTTTTCAGACATTGCTGGTTTGCACTGCTCACCTCCAATCTGAAACACCTTCTACTTCCCAGGCTCCACAGCATGCCAATGTGGCAGTGTCCAGTGGTCAAAGGGCTCCTACCATAAGCCTATCCCCACTATATTCAGTGGTGATTCCAAGGAGTGTAGGGGTTGTATTAATCAAATTGGGTACCACTTTGAAGCACCTCCTGGTTCTTTCCCTTCTGATAGGGCAAAGATCGGGTATTTGATGAACCAACTATCTGGTAAAGCCCTAGCATGGGCCAATCCCTTATGGGAGAGTGGTAGGACTGTATCTTACAACTACATGGAATTCATTACTGAATTCAAAAGATCATTAGAACCTCTTGGGAAAGTTAAGAAGGCAACCAAGGTGTTACCCGCAGATTAAACAGGGCAATAGATCCATTGAAGATTACGCCATAGAATTCCGCACACTAGCGGCCGAGGTAGATTGGACAAATAGTGGCTTGGTAACAGTGTTTTCAGAAGCGCTCTCTGAGGTTTTACTAGATGAAACAGCCGCAAAAGACCTACCAGATTTATTGGAGAATTATATTATCTATATGATGGATATGGATAATCGCCTTTTTGTTAGTGACCTTCTTATCCCTCTGAAGGAGAGAGACGCACTTTTGGCCGTTGAGGCCATAGATGGTAGACCCCTTCAGACACCCATTATAACCCATGAGACCCTGCCGTTATCATTTTCCATAGAGATGCTACATAGAGGGAATATAGCGCTCCAAGTCATTTCAACCCCTTCAAGTCCTATCATTCTTGGGTTTCCCTGGTTGGTGTGGCATAATCTGGTCTTGGATTGGGCTAAGGGTGAAATTTGTACTTGGGGAACTAGCTGCAAGGATCAATGTCTTCTCTCCGTCAAACCTATAGGTTGTATTAACATGCCAACGGCTGATCCATTATCCACGGTAGTTCCCCCACAATATATCATGGTTAAGGAAGTCTTTAATAAAATCAATGCTGAAACGTTACCCCCACACCAACCTTATGACTGTGCCATAGACCTCCTGCCAGGTACTATGCCACCCAAAGGCTGGGTGTATCTTTTGTCCCCCCAAAAGAGTGAAATCATGGAAGAGTATATCCAGGACACTCTTGCCAAGGGTTTCATATGTAGATCTTCCTCTCCTGCAGGCGCAGGGTTTTTCTTTGTTTCAAAGAAAGAGGGAAATCTACGACCATGCATTGATTATAGAGGTCTAAACAAGATTACTATAAGAAACATCTATTCTCCTCATCACAGAATTGTTTGATAGAATCAAAGGAGCCACTGTGTTTACCAAATTAGAACCTTAGGAGTGCGTACAATCTGGTCAGGATAAAGGAAATCATGAATGGAAAACCGCTTTTAACACCCGTGTGGGCATTAGGAATATCTTGTAATGCCTTTTGGATTGTGTAATGCTCCTGCGGATTTCCAAGACCTTATAAACGATGTCTTAAGTGTTCTAGTCTATTTGGATAACATACTCGTTTATTCCCCCGACATTACCACTTACTATGTTCATGTCTCTCAGGTACTCACTACGCTGTTACGCAATAGTGTAAAATTTTACCACTAATTTAAAGTTACTAGTTATCATTTGTACTGTCCATTGAATGTCTCATTTTATATTGGCTGTAATAAACATTGTAAATTGGAGGAATGTTTATTTCATCAAACAGAGGTGCAATTCTTAGGCTACATTATCTCAGCCAAGGGTTTTGAAATGGATCCCAATAAACTTGAAGCGGCCTTGCAGTGGCCCAGAAATAAGGGTCTAAAAGCCATTCAAAGGTTCATTGGATTCGCTAATTACTACCGCAGGTTTATTAAAGGAGTTTCCTCAGTCATTTCTCCCATTACTAATATCACATGTAAAGGTGCTGAGACTCATGTCTGGCCTCCTGCAGACCTGTCTGCCTTTGAACAATTTAAAACCCTCTTTTCTACTGCCCCTATTCTCATACATCCTGATCCTTCCAAGCCTTTTGTGCTAGAGGTTGATGCTACTGAAACAGGAGTAATAGCTGTCCTCTCTCAGTGGGAGTCTCAAAACACTCCACTCCATCCTTGTGGTTTCTTCTTCCAATAGTTATCCCCTGCAGAGGATTATTATGATATAGGGAACAGGGAGTTGTTGGCTATAATAATAGCATTAAAAGAGTATAGACATCTGGTAGAGGGAGCTATAGTACCCATAATGATCATCACTGACCATAAGAATTTGACCTACACATGTGTCAAGTGATGCAGACTTGGCCCTAATTAACATCACACATAAAACAAAAAATAATTAATTTTCACTAAGCTTCTGTGACATGGCACACATATTTTTTTTAATTAATTAATTTGCTTGCTGTACACCTTTCAGAAGAATTCAGATCGCTGAACTACAACTCATACTGTAATAGTAAATATCATTATTTGGAGAAATGTATTTTACTACTGTCGGCATTTAATCACCCGTTGATGTTAATACTTGTCAATTTTATTTGCAGAAAGCACAACAGAAGATTTTTACAAGATATTCAAAGTCGGTGATGCCAGTGGTGTTTCGAACAGTTGCCAGCCCGGAGGACATCATGTCTTGCCTAGTTCCATTGCATCTGACAGTTCCACTCATATCCCATCCAAGTCAAACCACAAAATTAAAGTAGCAAAAACCAATACTCACCCTCTATCTGGAGCTGGATTTCAAGGATGGGACCCAAATTACCATGATATTCGAAGACATATATATGCCAACAAAAGACAGTTCAGCATTGAGAAGCTCCCTGAATTGTTTAGTCAACAAGGTCATTATGCTAATAATCCCCCGTGTCATTTTTCCAGTAACAGCAAGACTGAGGTCACTGTCTGAAAGAACTCATCTATCTAAGTCTACATATTATTGTAATATTCTAGCTGTCTCATTTTCAGGTTCATGAGTACAGTCAAGAAAAAAATGAAACTCAAAATGGAAGAGGTGAAACAGGCATGTGCTATCAACTTAGATTCTGAGGAAATACATTCTAGTATATCATTAGAAACATCGATCTATAATGAACACAATGCAGTGGTTATTTTAAAAAAAAAAAACAGTGATTGTGTGGTTTTATATACTAAAATGTAACTATTATCTTTCTTACAAAATGTAATCGATTTAACCTCCTCTATGTTGGATTTGGGCTTAAAATTACATTGATACCTATTCATTACACGGGAAATCTATTTGAGTATGATGAGTGTAATGAAACATTTTGTTAATATGGAATTCTTGCATTGTACTGTCTCTGTCTTTACCCCATCATGACTGAGGTCTCTTTGTGCAGTTCTACAGTATTAATGACTGGAGCAATGTTTGTTGGTGTTTTTGCTATGTGTTTGTATATACTTTTTTTTTATAAAGGATACATAGGACTTCCTTTTAGAACCCTACAGGAATACATAGCATAATTATGTTATGTGAATTTTGTATTTCTAATGTGGACTCTTGAAGAAAAAAGTGGATTCAGCCACATACATGAGAACAGCATTATCCTTTCTTTGTTGTTTGGGGAGGGGACATGCTCATTTTAAGTTTGAACTGATTCATTTACTGGGCTCATCTCGCATTTTGACAATAGCAGCCTACAAATGCAAATTATGTGTATCAGTTTATAATTTGCAGCAGTAGACAACTCAAGTTATTTTATAATGTAATTTTCAGGTTTTTTTTAATAAGGCTATTTCATCACCAATTTCTGCCAAAAACTATCAATGATCTTTTTTTTCTCTGCATTTTAGTAGTGAATTTTCTTCTTATAGTACCTATTACTATAAAGATCCTAGTGTACAGCAGTAGCCCATTTGGACTACTTTGCCAGAATTTTTTGTTTTGAAAATCACATGTCAAAAACATTTTCAATACATTTTAAGATAAAGATGAAAACATTTTGAGATAGTGAGTTGTTATACTTCACCTCTGCACCTCCAGACCTATTAGACTCATGTGAACTGTCAATATGGCTGGCAAAAAAAACCAACAAACAAAAAAAACCAAATAACAATAATAATTTGTTTTAACTCTTTGCGTGTCAGAAATGTGGCAAACAATGCATAAGACATACCTCTGGTATTTAATGTCTAACTCCATATTGAAACATATTACAGGAAACTGCTTTGTCTAATGAGTTACAATATTCTTGCACCAATTTAATAAACTTGTTAAAATTGTCAGCATAGACGTTTACTGAACATCCCAGTTGAAAAAAACAACTGAACATCCTAAGTTTGCTGAACATACCAGTTGAAAAGACTTAAAACTATAGGCATCAAAACAACTTAAAGGGATTCTATAGTGTTACATATAGTTTCATAGTTACATAGCTGGAAAGAGACTTGCGACCATCAAGTTCAGCCTTCCTTATACAGGGAGTGCAGAATTATTAGGCAAATGAGTATTTTGACCACATCATCCTCTTTATGCATGTTGTCTTACTCCAAGCTGTATAGGCTCGAAAGCCTACTACCAATTAAGCATATTAGGTGATGTGCATCTCTGTAATGAGAAGGGGTGTGGTCTAATGACATCAACACCCTATATCAGGTGTGCATAATTATTAGGCAACTTCCTTTCCTTTGGCAAAATGGGTCAAAAGAAGGACTTGACAGGCTCAGAAAAGTCAAAAATAGTGAGATATCTTGCAGAGGGATGCAGCACTCTTAAAATTGCAAAGCTTCTGAAGCGTGATCATCGAACAATCAAGCGTTTCATTCAAAATAGTCAACAGGGTCGCAAGAAGTGTGTGGAAAAACCAAGGCGCAAAATAACTGCCCATGAACTGAGAAAAGTCAAGCGTGCAGCTGCCACGATAAATAATTGAAATGGGTATATATTTGTTTTTTGTTAAGTTGCCTAATAATTATGCACAGTAATAGTCACCTGCACACACAGATATCCCCCTAACATAGCTATAACTAAAAACAAACTAAAAACTACTTCCAAAAATATTCAGCTTTGATATTAATGAGTTTTTTGGGTTCATTGAGAACATGGTTGTTGTTCAATAATAAAATTAATCCTCAAAAATACAACTTGCCTAATAATTCTGCACTCCCTGTATATGTTTTTGCTGTTGATCCAAAAGAAGGCAAAAAACCTAGTCTGAAGCGCCTCCAATTTTGCAACAAACTAGGAAAAAATTCCTTCTTGACCCCAAAATAGCAGTCAGATGTCTCCTTGGATCAAGCAGCTATTACCCCACTAATGAGAAATTATATCCCCTATGTTATGTTTTTGCAAGTATGTATCCAATTGCAGTTTAACCCCTTAAGGACACATGACGTGTGACATGTCATGATTTCCTTTTATTCCAGAAGTTTGGTCCTTAAGGGGTTAAACATCTGTATGGACTCTGATAAAACCACCTCTTCAGGCAGAGAATTCCATATCTGTCATACCTCCTCGCAGTCCACGCTGCTCCGGTCCCGCCGTCCATCCTGCTCCTCGAGGCTCTGCTGGCATCCGGACGACAACGTGCACTCGCACACGTGCCCGGGTGCATGCTCGTGACCTTGAGCACATTCGCAGACGCGCACATACAAGCGCGGCTTGCCTCTAAACTCTTAAAGCAATAGTAACATCATTTCATGTGAACTGGTAACCTTTTTATATACTATCCTATTCTCTTCCCTAGCCTATCAGATCTCTCTTAGCCCTAGTCACATCACTTCCCTGCCGTGGCTTATTGAAGCCTGAGAGTGCTTTCTGTTAACTTGTATTTTCTTGGTATCTGACTTCGGCTTGTCTCTGGTTTTCCTTATTTCTGGCTTCCCTGACCCTTGGCTTTGTTTATCGTTTATTCTTCCTTTTCCTACCCTGACCTTGGCTCGTCTGACCATTCTGGTTTTATTCCTTATTATTCTTCACGTTAAGTCCGGCCACTTTAAGGATTGGTAATACGTCTAGCTCAAGCGTTGCAAACTATCCTAACCAAAAGGAGGGGGACGCTAGTGGCACACAAGGCACTGTGTCATTACCATCAACATCTCATTCTAACAAATCCATTCATTTAACTCCACCTCCCTGTTACTCCGGGGATCCATCTTTATGAAGGCTTTTTGATTCAAGTGGGAGTACATTTCGAGATGGCTTCCAATTCTTTTCCCACTGATAGATCCAAGATAGCAGTCATTATGAATCTACTAGATGGTAAAGCCTTAACATAGATGAATCCCTTATGGGAGAGTGATGATGCTATTGTATACAATCTTGATTTATTCCTTAGAACTTTCAGGAATGTATTCAATCCTCCAGGCAGGAAGAGACTAGCCGCCAAAGCCCTATAGAAAATTAAACAGGGGTCTAGATCAGTGGCCGACTACGCCATTGAATTTCGTACCTTGGCCTCTGAAGTGACCTGGAACGATAGTGCAGTGACCGCTGTCTTCTTTGAGGGACTTAACGAATCCCTGCAAGATGAGGTGGCAGCTAGAGATTTACCGACCCTTGAGGAGTTAATACAATACATGTCTGATATTGATATAAGCGTTAAACAGAAACGTCTCAATCTAGAGAGACAAAGAAGGGTCCTGGGAAGAATCACTCCCCGTCCTAAGATAACTGAACTCCCTGCCTTAGCAGCACCCGACCCTGATCCTGAACCCATGCAGTTAGGTACTACTCGACTTTCTGAAGCTGAGAAAACTTACAGAAGGAGGGAGATTGTGCCTATACTGTGGCAAAAAAAGACATTTACGCATTAACTGCCAGTCTCGTCCGGAAAACTCCACTGCCTAAGTTTGTTCAGGGGGCCTTGGGTGTAATGTCTTTGTCCCCTAAATTTTCTACACATAGGCGTCTTATGCCTGTAACCCTGTCTTGGGGAAAGGTTTTTCATCAAGCTATGGCCCTCATTGAGTCTGGTTCTGCAGACAAGTTTAATGACGAGACTTATTTGTCATCTATTTCTCTTCCTTTAGAGACAAGAGAAACACCCTTGGCCGTTGAGGCCATAGATGGTAGACACACCAAACTAAGACTGTTATCTTGTTAGTAGGGGTTATGCATCAAGAGAACATAATATTCCAAGTCATTTCTTCTCCTTCTTGCCCTTTAGTTCTTGGTCTAACTTGGTTACAGAAACACAACCCTGTTATTGACTGGAGAGAAAGACAGGTGTTATCTTGGAGCCCTTCTTGCATGCATAAATGCATTAACCACGTTAAAACCCTCTGTTCTCTTAATACTCCTACCTCTCCTCCACTCTCTACCTTCTCAGTACATGGATCTCAAGAGAATATTTGATAAAGTAGAGGCTGACTGTTTACCTCCTCACAGGTCCTATGATTGTGTTATCAAGCTTCTTCCAGGCACTATGCCACCCAAGGGAAGAGTTTTCTATGAAACTAGCTCCAAAATATATTGGACCCCTTCAGAGGATCAATCCAGTTTCCTATGCATTGGACCTGCCGAAGAACCTCCCTCCTGAAACCACTGGTTTGTAATAGTCACTCTAGATCTCATTCTCGTCCTCCTCCCGTTTTGGTACATGGTCAGGAGGAATACGAAATCCAGCACATTCTTAATTCTCGTTTTTGGAGTGGGTCACTTCAGTATTTGGTCCATTGGAAGGGCTATGGTCCTGAAGAACGCTCATGGGTTCCTGCTTCTGAGGTCCATGCACCCAGACTTCTTCGTGCGTTCCATGCCAGGTTCCCTTCTCGCCCTTTTGGTGTCACTCCAGTGGGCATTCCTGGAGGGGGGTTCTGTCATACCTCTTTGCGGCCCATGCTGCTCCGGTCCCACCGTCCATCCTGCTCTTCCAGGCTCTGCTGGCATCTGGCCGACAACACGCGCCCGGGTGCACATTTTGCGGATTTGCGGATAATTTCTTCCAGCCTAAATGTGTGACCTCATGTCCAATGTATAGCCCTGTTTATGAATAGTGTAAGGCAAGCATGTCAAATTGAAAGGCTAGCATGGGCATAATAAACAAGATTTAAGTCTACGTGGGCCACAAAAAACAAACAAAAAAAAACTAAAATTTTCATAGAAACATAGGATTATTTGGAAAAATACAGTATAAAAAAATATCCCAGCATCACTCTCTACTAAACCCCAGCCCCCCCTCTATACTAAATCTCAGTACCCCCCTCTTACAAATCCAAGCACCCTGCCCCTGTTTAATAAAATGACAATATTGGCCAACAAGCAGACTCCACTCACATTGCCGCTGCCAGTATGAGCCCCCGGAGTCTGGCCTCTGGTATACCCCCAATGGCGCCGTCCGCACCTTGTGCCAAGAGGATCATCATGCTACTCCTAGAAACCCTGTGAAGGTGGAGCACGTTGCTGTAACTTTGGAATGTGATGTGGTGTTGCA